CAGGTTTATTTGAACTCTTCCAGCACTGGAAACACACCCAGCTAGAAAACGGTGTATCCTCAACCTCCAAATACAGTATGGAAACAGTCTCCCCTCAAGTACACAGAGCAAACTCGAGGGAAACAAACAAACGTGATTTAGCTTTCAGTTCAGGGTTGTTGTGCTTCATTCACATGTCTTTAAGTGGGCTCAAAATGCTCCCTTTACTACACATTTATACTATGAACAACATGGCAAACACTTCAACGTATGATGCATGTTTAAGCGCACGATACACGGTTATCTCATTTACGTGCACTCCAGAGGATTCGGTGCGTCTGGAATGATTTGCTCCGTTATAAAGAGCCCGTCGTGAGCGTGAATGCTGTAAGATACAGTGAGACAAAGCATACATGATTCATCTTTCTCGATGACATCATTCTGAACAGCTGATGGGAATGACAACAGCTCCCCCGTGTGGACAAAAGTGGGATTACATTTGGTTTCAGTCATACTAAGCCCACAGAAATGCTTAAAAACAGATTAGTAGTGTAAAATAAAGCATGAAAGAGAGTTTATTGGGGGTTTTAAATGTGGATTTTGATATACTCAATTAATTAATTAATTAGACAATACAAAACTAGGGAGTAAATTGCAGATTTTTTTTTTATTCGCACAAAATAATTTATTATCCCCCCATGTTATTTGGATTTTGCACACAGCATTTAACAGAAAAGCCTGTATGTTGTTTTATTAGACAAAATCTGTTCAAATTAGTGTTGTTCTTCAATTTACAAAAGCAATTTGATACATTAAATCATAACATCTTATTAACCCTTGTGTATTGTTCAAATATACTACTCTTTCATTGTGTTAGGGGCTGTTTTTGCCCCATTGACATTTTTTGACAGACAGCACATACTCATGCATTTGTGATTGTTGGTGGTTTCCTCTATTGGGAAGAGCTACAATTTGTCATTTTTACTGTTGATCATCAGTTGACAGCATTAACCCTTTAGATAGGCCTGTGCAAAAATGTTTCTGGCTTTTATATGGAGTTCTGAGTAGTAAAAGAGCAGATTATAGTGTGTGTGTGTGTGTGTGTGTGTGTGTGTGTGTGTGTGTGTGTGTGTGTGTGTGTGTGTGTGTGTGTGTGTAAAAATACACTTACCATGTTTACTGTGTTCTGAGAGTCACACTATACTCCATTTAACCATATAGTTTTTTTATCCAGAAACTACGCTTTTGGGGGGGGGGGTTTTGTACTTAAACTGATGCTCATCAGTAAAAATTTGCAAATTTACCTCAATTAACCAGCAACAATCAAGAATGCATGATTATATGGTGTCCTGGATTTGCAAACAAAAATGTGTTTATAATGGTCAATGGGGCAAAATCAACCCCCAACATAATGAAAGGGGAGTCAATTTGCCAAGAGTATTAATGGATTCTTTTACATTTTTAAAGCTTTTTCCCAAAATGTGCGTCAAAATGAGGTTTGTCACCAATAATCATTCCATATGCTGAAATACAGAGAAAGTTGTGGCCAAATTTAGACACAAAATCACCCCAGAGTGGATGAAAACACCCATGACAGCACTTAAGAGTTAACTTAATTATCATATTTTCATTTTTCAAAAGATTTTTTAAAACAAATGAAGTTTTATCTTACATCAAGGAAACGGTGTACTCAGATTAAGGCCCCGTTTACACTAGTGCGTTTTAGTTTTAAAACGGCGTTTTAGAATGAAAACGATCCGCGTCCACACCCGCGTTTTACCCAGCGTTTCTGAACAGCTCTCCGTCCACACCAAAACGCTAAAAAACGCACATCACGTGACCACACAGACACTCTTTGGCAAGCGCTGCAGCTCATCTACCCAGATGAGAGCTCTGCTAGTCGGACTTCTCATCAAGCATCTCCCGCTGGATCTAATCTAACTACATTTATTAAACGGGATATTTCATTCATCTTGTTGTCTATATCTAACGACATATTCCCTGACTTTGGTCATTCGAATCTTACTTTTTCTCAGGTAACGTGTTTTGGCTGAGCGCAAAGATAAGTTAATGATTGATGTAACCACGTAGCCTATTATGTATATTGACTGCTCGCTTGCCTTTATTTCCTATAATGTAAAAACTTATTGTATGTTATACTTTTATAATGGCCATTATCGATTATTAAAACTGATATTCAGCAAAAGAGAGGCTGTGTTTCGTATTTTCACTGAAATTGAAAGGAGGCAGTTGTTATCTGCTCCGTTTTGTTATAAATATCCACACAGTGAAGATGACGCTCATATATGCAGCACGACGCCTCAACATTTCTGCTGTCTGTTTAGTTGTTAATATTAAAATAAAAATAGGCAGTTCCTTAAATCATGTATACAATTTATTGTTGAGAAAGTAAAACAACGTAGCCAGGGTGATGTGAATGAAGTTATAAACTGTTCCATTTGAAGATTTACCCGTGTCCTCGGTATAGTCTGTTTTCCATATCAAACTGAGAAGAAGAGAC